AATTGACCATCTGATGGAAGAGCTAATGCAATTGTTAATGCTGTATAGCCAGAGAATGTTCCAACTTCGACTAAAATTATACTCAATTCTTATTCTGTATAGTATTAGAAAAAAGACAAATCATACTGCATCGTTTGCATCCCATGAGTTGAATAATATAACTTGCAAAAATTGTGCCTCATTAAAAGAACCGAGCATTCTCAATATATTTCCTATTGAAAAAAAATTTATAATACTCTTTTGATTAAATAATAAAAAATAACCTGGCCATGAATTTGTATACTCAATGATTTCATTTTGTTCAGATGTTAAACGTAATGAACGTTCTTTAATGTATTGATCAATAGGATCAGATGATCGTTGCATTTTAATTACTATATTTAGTCTATTCAATCAAAGTATATAGTATGAACTCTAGAAAGAAGAACATCAGTTATTTACCTTTTTAAGTTTGATATATGTTTCTAAGATTTGTGAGTGACACTATTAACTGAAAGTTAAAGTGCTAAAGGCGACGTTGTAGTCTTTTCTTATCAGGTATATGAAATAAAGAACGAAAAGAAACGTGTAAATATTGATAATAGTACAATTTTTTATTTATGGGTTGTTTATTTGTGTTGCTGTGAAGCACTTCGAATAATAATACTTAATAACAGAAAATTTAACCTTTTAAGCATCTTTATATTTCGCAATGGCCTTTGTATATTTCAAGGGCTTTATATACGTATAGATAAAAAGATAAATTTTTATTTATAACTACACTCACCCATCAAAAAATTGGCAATCAGCAATATGACAATTTCTGATAGAAGAACTATTTGTGCTTATGGTATTACATTTTATTATATTTCTTCTTATCGAAAATGACATCGATTTCAAATATAAAGCATACACACTTTTATATCCACCTGCCAGATAGAACGAAAATACACGAAAATAAAGGATAAAGTATTACACAGTGTATAAATAAGAACTGGATGAAAACATATATAGATTTTAAGAGAAATCTACCTGAACAGAAAATTACTCACTTCTCTTTTCATTACAAGTACATTTCTACTAATCAATCAATATGTTATGTACTTCATGTTTTCTTCTATATTTCTATATTTAATTTGAGAGTATTCTCTTATTTCCTTTGTTAAATATTTTAAAAGTATTGAAAGTTTTTATGTTATAATTAAAAATAATACCAGACTAGTTAATACATTCGCTTATTAAACTAAGTTAACTTTCAAATCGCAAGATTTCGACGAGTCCATCTTTCCCAAGTACATTGAATTCAAAAAATACAATCATGAGAATTCTGAAGGAAACAATAACGTTCCGCTACTATTGACTATATTTCAATCGATCGATGAGATTCACAATTCAAATGTAATAAACTAAGTTCTTTTTTGATTGATGAACTCATTTTTTTCAGTATTTTAAATTCAAAAATAGCTTCTGCAATATCTCGAATAATGAGTTTATAGTATTTGTCTGACGTTGATTGTGCATGATCAGTGAAAGATAAACTTTGTCCTTGAGAGAAAGTCTTTCTAGTAACATTAACAACATAGGATCGATTCGATGGTCCAAATGGTTATACATGATATAATGATGAACGATCACTTGTCAAAAGATTTCGTATACGAGAGCAATGTATTAATTCTTCGTAAAATAGAAGTACATATGCAAGTGCAAAATGAAGACCATCCGTTCTAGCTATGTTAGCTCCACAATAGATAATCGTACATGTCTTGTTTGGTAAATCTAATGGTCGAAATTGTTCTTCTTCATTCTAGTACCATGATCTGTTTATTGTTCATACTTATTCGACAAAATCATACAAAGAATAAGCTAATACTTATCAAGATTAATAATAGATATTTAATGAACTTCATACTATTGTGAGTCATCTGAAAATAAAATGTTTTTAAATTAATAGAATTCACATTAGATATCAAACAATAAGTAATAAACGAAAAGAAAATATATCTGTAATTTATTACATATATTTTCAGAAGTGTCTTGAGTTGAAAGCATTGTGTTCATCTGTAAATATGAAATCATGTAAAAGATAAAGATATATTTAGTTCATTTGACTCACTTGTTATATAATATTTCTAGAATCATTGCAAATATTTTCAAAAGGTATGATAACTTCAGATAAATTCTGATGTTGACAAGTGATTGAAAAAGCCAATCTTTGTTTCTCAGCTTGATTTGCTAGTAATGGTCCGAAAGCAAACCATACATCACCACAAGACGTACGAAATGAAAGCATCATATTGATTCGATGAGGATATGTAAGTGCAATAGCATTCATTAAATACTGATCTTTTCCAATGAAAAAATTCTTTGAAATATAATTATTAATAGTTTCATAGTACATTGATGTCCACCAGTGAATAACATCACTCGTACCACCAATTAAAGTACCTTCAATAAGATCATCTTGAATGGGATCTCTGTTTACAGTATATGATAGTGGACAAAACTGACGAGAAAGTGGAGAAATCATGCCGAGAAGAAGTCTCTTATTAGCAAGAATTGAATGAATTGAAGGTTCGTGTGGCCACCGTTCAAAACGATAATTAGAAGATCGAAAAGCTCCAGCATCCATATAGAGAAAATATTTTGTTTGAAAAGGATTAAGTTCGACACTTTGATTGAGTATAAAAGATTTAGCACACCATACAGCATACAATTCAACAGAATGATATGCACGTTCAGGATCAGTGAGATATTGTTGTTCAAAGATAGGAACAAGTTTTTTTACTGGTGGCATTTCAAGCGATGAATTATATTCCACAATAAAATGAGTTCTTAATGAATTATTCCGACGAAGTTGTTGTAGCATGGGTTGATATTCAATTGATGTATATATAATCATAGGTGATTGACAAAATCCTAATAGATTTTCAAGCCATGATTGATACTCAGCTTTACTATGTTTAGATTTACTCAATGGAAAATATGCTGTTACAACAGTTGTTGAATATTGTTCATTGTTTTTCAATAAAGGATATCTTGTATAATTGGATGTACGAATTGACAACAGAAATGAATTTGATTGATTAATAGGCAAGATTAAGGCGATGCTAATAATAAGTAGTATAAAAATACATAATTGTCGATAATAAGTTATTTTAAATGTCATCTAAAACAGATAATAAATTAAAATATATTTATTATTTGATAGAATATTTTAATTTGTATTATTTAAAAATTTAAACCATGATGGAAAATAATCATCTGCTCGACAATTAGAATCAATAGGACTATGATCTGATTTGGAATCAGTTAATACATCACCTAATCTATTATGTGAAAGAAAAGCACCCCACCATCCAAATGTTCCTGCAGTAAGAATGGTATGTTCACATAGAGTCAATGTAGCCAAATCATTAGCAACACTAAATGAATCAGGTGTCACTAATACATTTTTCTTCTTCTCATCGAATATGTATGCCTCTACTGAAGTTGAAATATTTTTATTGATATTTTGCTCGAGAAAATTATTGACACGATCTAGAATTGATTGTTTAAAACGTAGTTGTTCTCTTATTTGTTCCATATGATCGATAAAATCCTTCTAATTCAATCGAATAACTGTTGTTTGAGCGTAAAAGATTAGAAATGAATGAACAATGATTGTGGATTTGTTTAATCGAAGTAAAATTATCTAATTGTGATTCTAATAATAAATTTGTTAAATTCCTCATAAGCTGTTGCAAACATAAATAAACGATTTCCAAGTCGACTACCACATTCACGTAAAATAATACGACATTATTTAGTATCATTAAATAAAGTCTTATTCTTCCATACGTGTACATCGTATACAGTTTGTGAATAAATATTTAACATAAAAAAAATCATAATCATAATAACGAACAAATCTATTACTTTTAAAGTTTGATTTCCACCCATTTTCTGTCGTAATAAATATTTTAATAAAATAGTCTAAAAAAAATAAACAATAGAACTGAATAGTAGTAGATCAATCACATCATTATAATTGTTAAATAAACAGTACTATTCGAAATTCTTCTTTATTTCTAATGCTTTCATAATTTTGCTATAGAAGTCATTTTTTATAATGTTAACATATGACTAATAGATTTGTTTCTAAATTATGGCTAGGATTTCATCGATCAGTAAATAGATTGAACGATCCGTAAACAAATCATATGATCAGTCATTAAACAAAAACATGCTTTAATAAATTATACGATCAGTAAATAAAATACTTTAACAGTTAGTCATACTAAAGAATCAGTAGAAAAGTCGAAATAGATAATAAAGTGTTCGACTTGTCGTTTGTTTTCTTTGTTACTTTCTTTGCGTTCTGTGTGACTTTCTTTCTTTCTCTAGTTTAACTATAAAAGACTGACTAGATAAATTTATTTTATTCAGCTTTCGATTTAAATTTAATCTAAATAATACAGAAAATAATGAATACACAAAACGTTGTTCCAAATATGAGCGAATTATCCAATGATGAACCGGAAACAAATGCTAATGATTTAGAGAGCATCACGTCTTATCTAGATTTTTGACAATCAGCTCAACTATAGCTGATCATTAGTCTATTGAACGTGATTTGTCTTGAACAAATGTTAAAGTATTTGCTACATAGTTAATAATATCTTTACGGCTATGGACTTCTTCATACCAATGAGTTAAAACTATTAAAGAAACTATTTGTATTCAAAATGATGTTTCGAAACAATATTATATACCAGCACGTAATTTATAATCTATTTCTCAAATTGATTTAAAAAGATGCATTAAACAAAAATGAATAAGCTTCAAACTGTTTGAAGAGTCATATGATGTTTGGTGTTTAGAAATGATGGATGATTTAAATTGCAAAACATCCAAATGTAGTTGTCCGGCTTTTCTTGAAGATTACATATGCAAGCATATGGTTGGAATGGCTATTCGTCTGAGAATTTGCAAAGCACCTGTAGCAGCTAAAGCCAAACGTGCATTATTGGTGCAATGATTCAACTCTAATTTCTTTATTTCTATTCCTTTTTTTTGTTCTATATATTACTTCATGAGTAAATAGCTTTTCTACTGGTAATTTCATCTTATTTACTGATCAAATATTTTGTTGCCTTTGAAATATATCTATATTTTTCTCAAAAGATAAATCACTATAGATATATAGGTGATGTAAATGTTAAAATCAAATCATAGTACTTATATTTTTCATCTGAAGTATATTATTACAGCAGAATAGGAGAAAAGAATGATCATTGTTTCTTTTTAGTTTTTTAGCTAATATCGTATGTTATACACTTAAATATAAAATATAAAATTTAGAAGAAGATTTTTCGACAACATAGTACGTCAATTATACGTCATAGTTGACGATTTAAAGTTGAAATTCATCTATCTGATACACTTAACAAGATACAAGACACAACAGCAAAATTCTTTAGTAATAATCTTTGTTCAAATATTTTTTTCTCGGTTAATTATAACAATTATTAAAATTTTATACTTAATATTTAGAGATAATAATTATTTATTTGTAAATCTATACAAAATGTAGAACAATTAGATGTTATATATTCTTTGTTTTCATTGTATGTGATATATGAAATAAAATTCACATTTACTTTGCTAATCTCAATATTTTTTAGTCAATTTCTGTTACTAATAAAGTTGATTACTAAGAAATAATTCTTATATCTTGAAAAGAAATTTACAAATTCAAAATTCAAAAGATTTGAGCTTCTATGATAAAAATTATAACGTCTTTGAAAGTTAAAACAACATTTCAATAAACTATGTTATATCTGATTATTAAGAAATAAAATAATTGTAGCAAGAAAACTGGAGTTTATTCATTTTAAAATATCTTGAGATTAAGTATATGATACTTAAAACGTCTTACTTTTATTACAATAATTTGTGTCCTACATTGATTTTATTATTCATCTTACTCGGATATAGATTACATTAAAATGTTATGATGATGTTGTTTGCGATTTCTTACGTGAAAGATAGAAGTGTAAAATACTCTATATTCAATGACAAAGAATATTAAAATATTTTTTTTTATAGAATTGTTCGATTTCAATGCTTGTTTACCAAAGCTGCTATCGCAGTTTTTACCCTATCACCGAATCGATCACGAATACTAGTATCTTCAACGGTTTTGTTAAAACCACATCCTGGCATTGTACGTGGTTGGCTCATCGATATATAATGAGCAAGTGTTATGTGATTTTCTAAAAGTTGTTCTTTAGAAAGTCCAATTAGTTGCTGATGAATTGATAGATACTGAATAAAACACGGTCGATATAAATACTTTTCATGTCCACTTTTATATACATTACGTGCACAACAACTAAATCGTTCAATAGTTAAACGATTTGTGTCTTTCTCTTCCGAAGTATAACTACCAGAGTAATAAAATCAAACAGAATATTAAAAATTAATCAAAGTTTTTCTTTTTTCTTTATTATTTGACTGTTGATTTAATAAGAAAAAGTAAAAGACAAAATTTATTTCTAATCGAAATATTTTAAATCATTTTTACTTTATTTGCATTTTTTCATTGACAAATTTTTTGTTTTCATTATTTTCTAGAACCAACATTCAACAAGTGGAAATGGACAACGAGAAAAATCAAATCAACTCAATATGCCTTTTGAAATCTTTATTGATAAAAAGAAAAGTATTTTCATAGCTGATTGTTCGAATCATCGTATTGTTGAATGGAAATATAATGCAAAGGAAGGGCAAATCATTGCAGGTGAAAATGACAAAGGAAATCGAATGGATCAATTGAATATGCCAACAGATGTGATTGTTGATCAACAGGGTGTGGGTGGGTGTGGATGTGGATGGGTGTGGGTGTGGGTGTGGGTGTGGGTGCGGGTGTGGGTGTGGGCGTGGGTGGGTGGGTGTATCGGTGTGAATGTGCATGTTATCTGTTGTGTATAACACACCCACACCCACACCCACACCCACCCGATTTTTCACGGTTTTCCATTATTTTCGAGTAAATGTGAAGAGGATGCATTTCTACGAGAAAGAGCTAAGCGAGTCCTCGGACGAGCGTTACTTGTTTTGTTTAGTTGAAATTAGTTATGAATAAGCAAATAACTCTTTTTTTCTTCTTCTCTCTTTTTATGAATATCAATAATTTTAAAATGATGTAGATTCTCTTTGTTTACTGTATGGTGTATATAGTGACAAAACATACTGTAGAAAAGTATGAAAATAAGATGTTAATCACTGTTCGATCTTGTTGTCCATTTCTGGTCCAATCAATTGTTTGTTATTAGAAAAAAAAACAATGTGTAAACTACAATAAGTATTAATGATGTCTTAATGATGATGACATCGGAAGCTTGAATTTTATTTTATAGTTTAATAAATAAACATATGCTTATTATAATAAAACATGACTTATTTTTCTTTTCGTTTTCTCAAATAATATGAGCAAGAGCAGCGTTAAATTGTTTCACAATTTTCATCCGTTTTTTAACATCTTTATATCAAAGATAAAAGGAAAATAGAAAATAATTTTATACTTTTGATTAGCATCGATATACAAGTTTATTCCAAGTTTTACGTGTCGGGAACGACCAGGTGTTTCAAGATACGTCTAAGAATAAATTAATTAATTAAAAAACTTTTTATGAACATTTAATTTACTTCGAAGTATACGATGAACTCTGTTTGATTGCTTGTTAACATTACACTCATTTTCTTACCATTGGTTTTATTTAAACATATCATTGGTTTGGTATTAGTTTCATTTTTAAAACGATCAAGTAATGAATACCCAGGTCAAACAATCCGGCACGGAAACGGCCGGTTCCATGATATTTCGGAGATTTCATAGAAGCAGTATTCCCGTTAAACGGATCCGGTGATCGGATTTATCTGGTTTGGACCGGAGCCGATAGGAACATGTCAAAACCAGCAGTCAGATACGGTTACCTCACTTCTCCATCGGATTCCTGGCATTTTACGGGCTGGTTTCGCCCAGAAATGGCGAGTTTTCTCAAGGATTTTGCCGGAAATTCATTGAATTCTGCTTCAGGAACCATCGTCGTGGGACGAAAGATAAAAAGAAAATAGAAAATACTTTTATACTTTCTCTTATCATCGATATACAACTGTAGTTCGAGTGGTATGTATCGAGAACGACCAGGTGTTTCACCATATGCCTAATAATAAATAAATTAAAAAACATTTTATGAACATATTTAATTTACCTTGAGGGTGTCAGTGTGAGTGCTAAGTGAATACAATATCCATACCCACACCCCTCAAGACTGTTTTACATCATTATCAGCAGCAGCGCATTGCTTTGCATCATCATCATCAGCAGCATCAGCGCATTGCTTTACATCATCATCAGCAGCAGCGCATTGCTTTGCATCTTGAGGGTGTGGGTGTGTGTTAGAGAGAGGGAATCGAGAGAGAGAAAGAGAGAGTGGTGGTGTGCGAACCTGAATAATTCGCTATCTAACTTCTGTTTTATTTTGTATAATCGTGTACATATATATGCTTTAATAACATAAAAAGTAATATCAATAATAACAAAAAAGGAAAAAAACCGTAAATATGCCTGGCGTTGCTAATGAAGAGAAAACAACATTTTGACGATTCCATTTAATCACCAAATTACTAACACCGGGATACCTTGAATCATGTAGTTGAGATATTGTTATTGATGTAACTGGTTCATCTAATATAGATGTCCATGATAAATAATGTACGTATAATTGGTTCATTTTAATATAAATGATTCGTCATATAATAATAAAGAATTTTTTAATTCCAAATGATATAATACATTTTCTTTTTTTTTTATTTATAAAAATATAACAAAAATTTTCTAATTTTTAATATAATCATAAATTTTTCATAACATTAGAATACATGTTTTAATTCATCATAATATAATACATTTTTTCATCATAATATAATACATTTTTTCACCATAATATGATAAAATTTTTTCATAATAATAAAAATTTTTATTATTTCATAATAACATAATAAATTTGTTTCTTTTTTTCCTCTTAATGTCTGTGATGCTGATGTTGCTGATGATGGTTCTGAGGATGTTGTTGATGATGATTTTGATGATGTTGTCGATAATGTTGTTGATGACGATATTGTTGATGATGTTGTGTTGAGAACAGGTGTTGGGCAATTCGTTCATGTTCATCAATATTATCAGCTTGTTTCAGACCAATGTACAAAGTGGATCCGGATTTTGATTTGTTAACAGCTGAATATGGAATGCCATGTTGTCGTAGAGTTTTTTCACTCTTGTAGTTGTAAATCTTCTATTGAAGTGTCGACAAATAATTTCGTTACGGTAATATCGGACACGTTGTTTGATGGTGCGTTTTCTATTTTGTGTACGTTTTCTTGCTTGTTCTTCTAATGTTAATTCAGTATGAGTTGGTGGTGGTGGTGATTGTGGTTGTTCATCCTGTATATGTTCATGTATATGTTCATCATGTATATTTTCATGTACTTGTTCATCATGTATATGTTCAGGTACTTGTTCGTTGATCAAAATCGATTCCCAATCATGTGGGTATCTTATAAGATCAACAATAGGAACATGTGCAGGTGGAGGTTGTGGTGAATCATTTTCATCATCAAATGAAATATTTTCTAATTCATAATTAAATAAATTCTTAATTTTAAAATTAAAATTATTTTGTTTCATATTCATTATAATTCGTTGCATTGCAATACAATCGTTTATTGCATACTTGGTTAATTTTTCTCGGTAAGATAATTCATCAGAATTCATTGTAAATAAATTATGATCCAAACCGATATTAAATTTTACACACGTTAATTCTTTCGGTAAATATTCTTCAAATGAATATAAAATTCCATCTTGTAAGAACCATGTGTGTGATGCTTCTTTTCCTAAACATCGTTCACATAAACAACCATCATTAATAATTTCATCGGATTTTTTCTGGTGAGGGTGTTGTTGTGTCCAATGTTGTTTAAATTTTAATTGTAGATTAATAATATTTATATTATCAAATTGTTCTTGTTTAAATAATTCAAATGTTGTAAATGGGTCAAGTTCATGTTTAGAGCCCCACATAAATATTTGTTTGTCTTTTGAAAACAGAATTTGAAATAAATTTTATATTAATTTAAATCGAGGATCATTTTTGTTCGGTGAGTGGTGCATTTCAATAAGAATGACAAGTGATAGATTGTAAGGTAAAAGAATTTGCAATTGAATGAGTGCCGGTTTGTTACTTTGTTTGTATATATTATATGATTCTGTATCTATAGTAAATTCCATTGTTGCTGTTGTTGCTTGTATTAGTTGTTGAAGTGTTGGTTCAGTCGTTTTATTATTAATAAAGTATGGAATATGCGGCATTGATTCAAATGGAGGATATGTTGTAGAATATTCATATTCTTTAATAATGTGTTTGAGTTGTTTTCGTTTTCTACTTGAGGGTGTGGGTGTGGGTGGGTGTGGATGTGGGTGCTAAGTGAATACAGTGTCCACACCCACACCCGCAAATTTTTTTTATGATTACGGAATGTACTATTTAGCTGAATAAAATGATGATCTAATGCTTTTGCAATTGGGAAAAATTGTTTGCTCTCATCTACTGCTTCAGTAAAGTTGATTGCAATTATTTCATCAAGACACGTTAATAAATGACATCCAATATCCTAATTCAATTCAACGAATGTGTTTTTTTCCATAATAGGTAAGAAGTTAAACACTTTTAAAAATTAAATGGTAAAGATAGATATCTAAAAATATTTATAAACATATTAATGTTAATGTTATCAAATGACATGATAATGATCTGTCTATCTCATCAATCATCAATGTTTACATTCTATTTTTTGTGATCTTTCCCAATCGTTTAACATTTCTTTTTCTTTTCCTTTCTATGAAATACCATTGGTCTATTATATTTATACGCTCTAATTTTCATAATCAAAGTCAAGAATAGTATCTAATATATATTTAACTCTTATTCCAAATTGTAAAATAGGTCACATTCATGTTTGACTAATGATTGATGTTTTACTGATTGTTCGAAAAAAAAAATAATGTCATCGTGTATAGTCTGATATCATCTGCTTTTGCAGCGGCTGGTTGATGTACTTTATTCTTTCATGATGAACACACTCGCAACTGAAGCAAAAATAAATAATTATAATGTGTTGAACATTTCGAATGCCACTATTTGTTCCTACAGGTTGTCTTGTACGTTGTCTTTTTGTGAAGTGAATACCAACTATTTATTTTAATTCATTTTATTATTATATACATTTTTCGTTTATTTAATATTTCATGCAAAAATACAACTACTTTCTACACAACTTTTCAACACGAGAGATTGATTTACAATCTTTTCATTTTTCTACTTTAATTTTTTTATTTCCAACTTTGAAATTTTTTGAAGCTTGTGTATGGCCAGGACAAGAGTGATTTGTCTCGATTTTTGTCTTATCATTTACATTAATTATAACACGGGTACGGCCACAGCGAAGACATAAAAAGGTTCGCTCAGGTGTGGGTGTGGGTGAGTATCCATGTAGATGAATCATGATGATCTACAATCACTCTTACATTCATACCCACACCCACCACATCATTTATCGGATACTACCGACAGACAAACAAAGAGACAGCTAAATTGATGCTTTTATACCTTGTTCCTGTAGTGACAATGACTCTCTACCAAAATTAGCTCAAACATCTCTTCTTGTTAATCTAATAACTGTTAAAATTTATAGATCACTTGTATAAGTAATACTAGTCCTCATATTCTTCTTTTATTTAAATGAAATAGAATATTTAATTAAAAAATAAATAAAAAGCAAAAAACATAAAATAGAATCATTTTATATATTTAATTTACTCGTCCAATTCCATTAGTTTTGGCCAGAGTTGTTCACATTGTTCACGAACGTTACTTGATGATACAATACGTAGATGTACACAAATCAATTCAAAACATGCTATTGATGTTTTATCCATTAGGGAAGAATAATTTTCGTTTGCCAATGCTCTAATTAAAAACAGGACATTTAGTAGTTCGTTTTGTAATAGAAACAATAAAATATTACTTGTAAAAATCAAAATGTAAAATACCTGGTGGTTGATATTCAACAAAAGGTTTATAAAGTCGCATAGATGCACCCTTAAATAAAATCAAAATTGGCAATAGAGAATAGAATTAAATTATTTAAAAATTGAAAGATCGTACACATCTTGCGAATATAGATACTGTCTCAATTAGTTATCTATAAGCTTCGAGATAAACTTAATCAAATATCATTTTCGAATTTTGAGAATATTACAGATTGAAAAAATCAGTACATACATTACTTTCTTGTAAACGCAATGTATAATTATATTGAAAATGTTCATCAGTCATTGTGTATGACGTACAACCTCGTTTCAATGCTGAAAGACACTCCAATTCAAAAGCTAATATCTATAGGAAAACAAAGAACCATATTTTAAACGAAAAATTTTCTAAATTTCTCAAACTTTTTTTTCTAAAATTTGTTCTATTCCATCTGTTTTAGTATTTGTTGCTGCATAATGTTGATAATCATTAGTATATAACGCTGGCGCACAAATTTGTCCACGTAAACGATCAATAAATGCAAAATGTACGAGACCTGGAAAATTGTCATGACAACTAAAATACATATATATATATTGTGACGTGATAAACTAAAAAGAAATACAAACAAACTCATTGTAATATTTCGTTGTGATTTAATTTCAATAAATGAAAACCAGTCTCCTAAATGTTCAGTTAATTTGTTTCGAAGAATTTGTATTAATGGTGATTCAATTAAATTATCTTCATTCATTGAAAAATCGTTTTGTTGATCACTGGTATTTGTTGTAAGAGCATATTCATCAATATCAAAAAATAAATTATGAAATACTTGAACTGAATAGTCATTCGTTTTTTTTAAATTCCCTAGAATTTGATTACTTCTATAAATAAAAATATAATATAAATTTAAAAAAAGATAAAATAAATATTTCTATAAGATGAATCACTTATGATTATCTTCATCCATAATATCAGGTTTTTTTGGTAAAGATTTATATATAATTTGTGTTTCATTTAAAATAATTGATAGAATATTTGGTCGATTTTTTTTACTTTCAAACTAAATAGCATAATTTATTAATAAAGTTCTTTTTAGTCATAAATTTCTTACATAACGTCGAATAGTTCCGTTATTTTCTACAGATTTAATATAATTATTTAATCGAGTATATGAAAACCGTGATTGACTTTGACATAAATTAAGATGATGAATAAGTTCAAACAAATAGGAACAAGCTAAACTGCTTTTCCACTAAAATTCAAATATAAAAAATTATTCAAAATTGAAAAAAATTTTTTTAATTAAATTGACTGCCATCATAATTCAAAGATCAGACTTTCATGTAGTTCTGTCTTTATTATTTACTAGTTTTTTCAAATTTATCATATACAAAAATAAGTCTCGAGATAGATTTGTTTTTAACTGCTTGGTTTTTGAACGCTTGCAATACGAAGATTTAAGACTATAGAATCCGCATACACATAGATATAGGGATGCAACGCTGACGGTTAGTCACCGGTAACCGTTCCATCTTGGGGGTTTAGATGTGGGTATTTATTTCATCTATCACTTGCGTCCACCCCATACTCACACCCACAAGATACTTACTGACCTTCTCTGACTTATACTTTTAAGATATATTATTGAACTTACTTCAATAAGAATAAGAACAGAAATATCATCAGTTAATGATATCGTATACATAGTAAATGGTGCCAGAGGTCTTGTTAATGTTTTCATAAATATGACTTCAATTCGACGAGTTTCAGTTGTTTTTGTTATTTCTAACTTAGGAAAAGTTGGTAAAGAAACTGCCTATTTTATAGAATTAAATCTTATAATGAGAATAAACTAGCAAAATAATTTACTCGTCTAGTTTGTAAAGTATGAAGATCTTCCATTGATCCTCTTGCTGAATTTGATAAATTTTGATTATTAGTATCAAGATTTGTTTTGTATATATGAGCCATTATTTTTGATGATTTATTTTTTTGTAATTTAAATTCATCACGTAATGGTCGACTTGTATTATTTAATAATAATAAGAATAGATCACTATTACTTAGTCGATTTTGATCATTACTAAAAACAAAATTTTTATAAAATAAAATAACTTATTCGATATATTAATTATAAACCTTGAATGCATATACACAATTTTATCTTTGCATGTAATCATCATATATGTCGGAAGAGTATGAAGTGAATTTTGAACTTCATTTGTGATCGCTAGACAAGTATCTAGACATTGTTGTCGAATTAATGGATTAATATATAAATATTCGCAAGTCTATTTTTCGAATAAATATAAATTAATTAGAGTATATTTTATTTCGCTTACTTCAAAAAGTAATGCTTGATTTGTTGTAATATTATTCAAAAAGTATTGAAGAGATGCCGATATTCGATTGATTAATTTACCAATAGTCTTACTTTTTCTATATGAAAACAATAATGTAAACAAATTTTATCGTTCATC